TCGTTCAAATTTAAGTCCGAGTTTTTCTTCCTTCTGTCTTTGATCACATTGAGAACAGTAGGCGATGTTGATTCCTTGTTGGAGTAGAGCAATAAAAGCCATTTATGATCACACGGGAAAGTTGACAGTAGAAGAACGCACCGACTTCAGGGCACAAACGTTATGTTCACGAATGGAAATATTGATCCCTGGCATCTTCAAGGCAAATATAATGGTACTGGAACAGTCACAACGATTCTTATGAATGGTAATTAGCTGAAACAATTCGTCTGTGGCATTTTCTACATCTTCATAATGTGGTCTAACAGTACAATATGTACTTTACATAAATTTTCTTCCAGTGCGAATGAAAACTCCCATGATAGAATTTTAAAGAATAGTAGTTATTGGAACGCATGGCACTGCTCGGTAAAATTGACTCAATAGTACTGCCAGATACTACGTGAATTAGTTGCAATTGGTTTTCATCATTTTTTAAGGGGAACTTTAAGTTTAAAATGAATGCTTGATGATGGCTGAACAGGTTCAGAAATAATTATGTATTAGTCGCAAATGACCTCGTTTTATCTGTTCAGTTATCATAAATTCATTTGATTATGGTATTAAGGTACTGCCCATTGTGCCGAGATGTACCCACCACGACCTCAAGATGCACCAGATCTTAAACCTGTCAGAGAGTTAGCATTAAAGAAAATTGGTGAATGGCTTGGTAAGTTCTTTTACTCGTAACTGTTTTTCTCAGCTTTTTCGAATTCATTGCTCAGTTCACAATTCATTCCCATCAATACGGTTGCATATTAATAACTTCTGAAGCGGAAAGTATTTGGAAAATACCGTTAATTTATAAAACGACTAACCGCATAATAAAAAGCCGCAAAAACCTCAAGTTCACAATCACATGACCAAACTTGAAATTTCATCTGAATACCACATTTACTTTGTGGAGCAGTCGTTTGTGAAGTAAAACATGCCGTAACGATTTTATTCGGAACGAAGACACTAGTGTGTTGCGGGGAACAGAAAATTTGGGGTTCCCCATCTTGGTTTCCCATCCACGAGTTCTTTCAGGCTGGCCGCATTTTCGGGGTTCCTGACTGCAAAATTTCGTCTCCAACTTCTACGGAATTTTCGGATATCCCTGTTCCCCGAAAATTCTCGAAGAATTCCCCGAAATTTTGCAGAAAATTGATACAATCGGTTAAAAGTGTCAAAAGCATGTATTTGAACTGAGGTTGAGAATTACCCAAATTCATCTAATTATAGGAAAAGTCAACGATGATATGATAATTGCCCAAAAATATTTTAATGTTGTAACATATTGTTTGCAGATATAACCTCTTCATCATCTCGAGCAGTTCATTTGACACCGTTCATTTTTATTTATCTTCTGCTTCTTTCGATGATTCGTTACTAAAATTCCTATCTCAAGGCAGATGATTTTCATTCAAAAATAGGCTCGCAAATGAGAAGTCGCCAATGTGTTGTGTTCCAGTTCACCGATCACATTCGTTCAA